TTCCAAGAATCTTTTAATTTCTTCCTTGATTTCCTCTTTGATCCAGTTGTTGCTTAGCAGTGTTTTGTTCTGCTTCTAAGTGTTGGAAGTTCTCTCCATATTCTTTTAATGGTTAACTTCTACTTTCATGGCAACAAGGTCTGAGAAGATACTCTTATGATTTCTATGTTTATAAATCTATGTATATTTTTTAGTTATGCCTTAGTATATAATCTAACTTGGATAATGTTCTGTAGGCAGGAACAAAGAATGAGTATCAAACTTTTGGAAGATGGAGAGCCCTGAATATGCCCAATAAGCCCAGTTTTTCTGGATTCTCGTTTAGGGCTCTTGTCTTTGTTACTGATATTCCTGTGACTGATCCGTCTAGTAGCAAAATTGTAGTGTTGGAGTTTCCCACAACTATTGTTTACATCAATATGTTTGTGAGCAAAAGCTTTATGAACTTTGCTGAGTCTTCATATGATACATAAATATTTATCACAGTACTTCTTGATCTATTAACAAAGTAATGTCTATACTGTCTCTAAGTTACTTTCTTTATGCTGAATTCTATTTGGTCTGAAAAAAGTCATCCCAGCTTTCATTTATCTACCATTAGCTTGTTTGACTGTTTTCTTTCTGTCACCCTGAAACTGTATTTATTCTGTGAGTATAGGTGTTTCCGTAGGTAGCAATTAGGTGGGATTTTCTTTCCTGAGTCATTCAGCTACTCTATGCCTTTTTGTAGAAAAGCTTAGCCCACTGACACTGAGAAAAATTATGGATATATAAGGCTGTGTTGCTATTTTTGTGAATGGGTGTGGAATCAAGCTGTTTTTGCAGATGTTTGTTTGCTATTATAGGCAGTCATTCAGTAATTTTTGCAAGATTGGTTTAGTTGTCACAAGTGCTGCCAGATCTTGTTTGGCTGAAAAGATTCTTCATCCCTCTCTCAAGTCTAAAAGACAATTTTACATGGTAATGCACTCTAGGATGAAAGTTCTTTTCATTCAGTACTTTGAATATTTCATTCCACTCTTTTCTTGCTTGTATGATACTACATAGAAGATATGTTGTGATTCTTATGTTGTTTCCCCTGTATTTGAGGATTTTCTTCTCTCTGGCTGCTTTAAGCAGTATATCTTTGTCTTTTGGGTTCTACCATTTTGAAATTGCTATGTACCTTAATGTTGTTTTGTTTGAGTCTATTTCTTTTTTCTTTTTGGGTCACACCTGGTGATGCCCAGGGGTTACTCCTGGCTCTGCACTCGGAATCACTCCTGGCAGTGCTCAGGGAACCATATGGGATGCTGGGAATCGAATCTGGGTCGGCAGTGTGCAAGGCAAACACCCCGCCCACGGTGCTATCGCTCCAGCCCCTGTTTGAGTCTATTTTGTTTGGAACTTTAGGCCACTTGAATCTGTACAGAGGCCTCTCTCCATGGACTGGGGAAGTTCTCAGTTATTATTTCTTCCACTAGTCATTCTATCCTTTTTTTTCTCTCTCCTCCTTTTCACTCTATAAATAAAAGCTTATTCCTATTGCTTTTACCTATCAAGAATTTTACATTCTCTTCTCATTTACTTCTCTTCTTTTGCCACTTCATTATTATTGATGGCTAGCATTTTGTCTTCAATATCGCTGATAGTGTTCTCTGCATGCTGAGTTCTGCTGTTGTGGCATGCTACTGCTTTCTTTAACTTTTCAATTTCATTTATATGAATTATTTAATACTCTAGATCAATTCATTCTTGAGCTTGTTAAATTTTTCTTCCAATGACTGCTTTATTTCCATTGCCATTGTATCAAGATTGATTTGAAGTTCACTTCAATGAAGCCTGAGGCTTTATTTGAGCTTGGTGATTGGCTGGGATTTCTATCCCTTTTGTTAAAGCAGGTAAATTCCTTTATCCCAATTGTCCTTAAACACTTGTGAGTGCTCCCTGATTTGAGTTTCAGATTCCAAATTATCTGTGATCTGACCTGATTTATTATTTTTCAGTATGGGGCTATTACTTATAATCTGTTATTCTAAAAATATCCGGGTGCCACGATAGCACAGCAGTTGGGCATTTGCCTTGCACGCGGCCAGCCTGGCTGAGCCGGGCTTGATTCCTCTGCCCCTCTCGGAAAGCCCGGCAAGCTACCGAGAGTATCTTGCCCGCATGGCAAAGCCTGGCAAGCTACCCGTGATGTATTCGATATGCCAAACACAGTAACAGCAAGTCTCACAATGGAGACGTTACTGGACCCACTCAAGCAAGTCGATGAACAACAGGAGGACAGTGCTACAGTGCTAAAAATATCTGTGCCCTTATGATACTATTTCAGTGGTCTTACAGATAAATATCAAATATTCCCATTTATATACTACAGTTACTATGGAGGTACTCAAGGACAGATATCAGAACCTACAAGCCCCTAAGAGTAAGTGGAGTTGAAGCAATAGAGTTTTGGGTTTGAGGGCCTAGCAGAGGCGGGCTTCCCTGATTCTATGAAGAACTGGCAGAGCAGGAAGCAATGGGACAGAAGGAGGCCAGAGCCCCTTGATGCACCTAGATGACTTAAGAGATGAGTTTCATCACCACCGGGTTTCATAAGCGCCTGGGTTCAACAGCATGGCAGCAGGGGGTTATCAGATCCACAGAACTGTGGAAGAGCTACTGGCACAAAGAGGGAGAGAGGATGTCTGAGCCCCTTGATGATAAGAGGCATCAGCACTGGGGTTCATAAGGGTGAATCATGGGTTCAAGGATTTGGCAGTGGGGGCTTTCCGGGTCTACAGGACTGAAGAAAAGCTAATGGCCCAGGCAGTACAGGGCAGGTGTAGCTATTTGTATTTAAATAACCATTAGGTAACCTTTTCTCTCAACCACAAATATTTTTGCATCTTTACAATATATTGCTTTAATCAAAGTTAAATTATCTGTAATAAGTCAAAGCTAAATTAGACTGTGTTACAAAATAATATATCTGATAGCAAAATTGCAAGTAGTCTAACCATCTTATAATATTATATGTGAATTTCTCTTTATGGAAATAAGCTTTGAACAAGCTTAGTAAGACAAGTAATTTGCTAATAATTTGTTGTTGAAATTTAAGCAAATTACTATATAAATCAAGTCTGCATATTTATCAAATCAGTAGTTTGTAAAAAAAAGTTATAAAATTAGTATGTGGTAAAATACAGTTTACATTTTTAAATATTCGGACCATTGAAATGCACACAAATACTAAGAAACAAGGTATTATATGTGTAATTCCAATAGCAATTTTTCCAAAAATCAATCCACTAACATGAATTGTATACCAAAATCTAAGCAAAGATCTGCCATCTGAAATTCCTTTGATATAAATAAATGCTAAATGTGAGTCTTTTAAAACGTTTCACCAAATATTCATTCTATTGAGCAAAACATTCTTTAAACTTTATCACAAGTTGCACATAATTTCAAAAGAATCGTGTTTCAGCCACCATACATACAGTCAAATTAGTCACTATAAAAATGAATAAGCTTTAGAATTTTCATACACAATTATCAACTGGGCAACTATCAATATAGCCATCTGCAATTTTTTTCATCAGTAGGCATCATAGCTATTTTAACTTTCACATAAAAATAAAATAAAATCAGATAAACAAATTCTATCTACAAATCAACATAAGAAACATTTTCTTTCTTTTTGTTTTTGGGCCACATCTGGCAATGCTGAGGGGTTACTCCTGGCTTAGGGGATCTAACCCAGGTCAGCTGCATGCAAGGCAAACTCCTTACTCCTATACTATTTCTCTGGCCACGGAAACATCTAAAAATTTGCCTTCTCTCTTTGTCTAAACCAAAAGAATTCCCACATTGGCCTAAATCTAACACTGACCTCTTATCAAAACAGAAATGTCTTGGGCTGCAGATGTAGTTCAAGCAGTAAAACACATGTCTTTGCACATATAAAACACTCAGTTCAAAGCCCAGAACCACAAAAACAGAAGAAAAAAATTTCTTTAACAGTCAAGCAACCATTTTTCAACTATTGCACCAGAATCCAGATAAAGTATAAGGTAAGAAATTATTTTTTCTCCTTCCTTTGTGTATTAACATATTAATCCTTTTGAGGTAATAATTTTTCTTCCTTTAAGCCAGAAAATTGAGGGTATGTGGTCATAAAGTAGACAGTTCATTTATGTATTACATCATTGCTTCTAGTCACTCTTTTTTTTTTTTTTTTGAGGTGGGAGGTAGCTACTCCCAACTAGTTATTAGGAAAGGAATAACTGGAAGGGAACCATGCAGTGCCAGGGATCAAGCCCAGGTCTCTAACATATAAAGCTTGCTCCACTCTTTACAGCTAACTTCCAGTCCCCTATAAACGATTCTTACTTTGTCAATGATTCTAAAAAATAATGCAAAACATGAAGAAAGACTGCTTAATCTTCTAGAACTTTTAGAAACCAATTTTCACAAACAATATCTGAACAATTATCAACAGAAAATATTTTATCCAGTACTATTTTATCATGAAGAAACCATACAAAACCTCAACATCTCTTCCACTAAGTCGTCACTGCACTTTGTTATAGCACAGCGGGTAGGGCGTTCGCCTTACAAGCGGCCAACATGGCCAACCCGAGTTCGATTCCTCCGCCCCTCTCAGAGAGCCCGGCAAGCTACTGAGAGTATTCGATATGCCAGACACAGTAACAACAAAGTCTCCAATGGAGACGTTACTGGGCCCGCTCGAGCAAATCGATGATCAACAGGAGGGCCTTTACCTTTACCTTTACTGTTACTGTATTACTCTATTTCTAGCAACTCCTTTCTACCACCAAAATCATACTTGCTAAATTTGCTACTTCAGCTCAGATACAACCAGCACCATTGACTTTCAGACATTTAAATCTCAATCACAATGATGATTTTACTAATTAAGCAGATTGAAATGACAGCTGCAATTCCAACCAACAATTTAAATATACCTTCTTCAAAAGATACAAGTAAATAAAAATCCATTAAGTACTTACCTACAGTTGGGAGGTGGGTCCAAGGTAATTTCTGCAAGTTCCTTCTGAATTCTTTGAAATAAAAGACAAAGAAAATTATGTTAGCCAGGCCCAGATCTCTAAAGCCCTCGCGGGATGGGGGCAGACAGAATCCCTGCCTTGCCAAAGTCCCAGCATTCCACCCATCCACATCTGGCTCCCACCACCACCAGAGAAACAGCCCAGCCTCCTGACTGATCTCAGAGATGTCAGCAGCTAATCAACCCAGCTCCAAAGCTCCAAAGCACACGACTGAATATGCAGCCAAGAAACACTTCCAAATTTCACAGAGATGACAGCCCAGTAGAAGCACAAAAAAATTAAGATGGGAAAATTGTATAGAAGCCCACTAAGCTCAGTGAGTGAAAACAATAACAGAGAATGCTCAACTAGAACCTAAGAATTCAGTAAATCCTCAGTAAATCCTTACAATGACTTTAGTAACACCATTATGAGATATATTTGGTAACAAGCAATATAAAGAAAATTAGTTTATGCCTGCTAAAGCAGCAGCCTTAGGGGATGGATAGGAAACTGGGAACATTGGTGTAGAAGAACACACTGGTGATGGGACTGGAGTTAGAACACTAAATGCCTAAACAACTGTATTGTGAATAACTCTTTAAATTAAGGTGTTTACATAGTTTCATACCAAAAATAAGAAGAAAGTTATGTTAAAATATCTTCAGTAACTTGAACACTAATATTTCCCATTCCTAAGTATTTTATTTGGGATGCCAGTAACTATATAAATCATTATGCAATAAAAAAGTGGCAACATCTACCAGGATTTTAAGGATTCACTTACAAAGGTAACACTAAGTATTATCACATTGCATGCAGCCTGTGGAAACAATGCTCTGACTTTGATTAAACCCAAACCAAAGGGTCTAGAGAGAGCACTGTAGTTAGAGCTCCCACATCAGGCTTCAGTGCCAGCATCACCTAGCTGTCCTCCAAGAATCACAGGTTGTGATCCTGGAGGTAACCAGCAAAACACAGCCCAACCAGCTCAGCATCACACTTGGGCTCTAGCTTTGAACAAACAGCCAATCTGGATCCTGAGCACGACCTGGGAGTTATAATATCCCAAAACGATATTACAGACTGATATTACTGAAGAACACAGATGCAAAGACCCTCAACAAAATACCAGCAAATAGAATTCAACAACTCATCAAAAAAGATTATACACCACGACCAAGTAGGATTTATTCTGGCGATGCAAGGATGTTTTAACATTCACAAGTCAATCAACATAATGCACCATATCAATAAAAGGTAAAAAGCCATATGATTATATCAATAGATGCAGAGAAAGCAATTGACAAGATCCAGCACCCATTCATGATAAAGCACTGCACTGTAGCACTGTCCTCCCATTTTTCATTGATTTACTCGAGCGGGTTCAGTAACGTCTCCATTGTGACACTTGTTACTGTGTTTGGCATATCGAATACATCACGGACAGCTTACCAGGCTTTGCCATGTGGGCGAGATACTCTCGGTAGTTTGCCAGGCATTCCAAGAGGGACGGAAGAATCGAACTCAGGTCAACCAGGTCAGCCACATGCAAGGCAAACGCCCTACCCACGGTGCTATTACTCCATGATAAAAACTCATCAAAATGGAGTTGTAGAAACTTTCCTCAATATGATCAGAGCCATCTACCACAAGCTCACAGCAAGCATTATTCTTGGAGCCAAAATCTAAAGGCTTTCACCCTAAGATCAGATCAGGCACAAGACAAGGTTGCCCACTCTTGCCTCTCCTATTCAATATAGTACTGGAACTACTTGCCACAGCAGTTAGGCAAGAAAAAGATATCAAGGGCATCCAGATAGGAAAGGAAGAAGTCAATGTGTCACTATTTGCAGATGGTAGGATACTATACTTATCCTAAAGAATACTTTACTTACCCCAAAGAATCTACCAAAAAGTTCCTAGAAACAATAAATTTGTATAAGTGGGAGGTTACAAAATCAATACCCAAACGTCCATTGCTTTTCTATATACAATGAATATATATATATACACACACACATATATATAATGAAAGAATGAGATATTAAAAACCAATCCCATTCACAATCATTCCTCAGAAAATCACGTATCTCGGATTCAGCTTAACTAAAGAGGTAAAGCCTATACAAAAAGACCTACAAAACACTACTTCAGGAAATGAAAGAGGCCCCAGTGACTACAAGCTTCCAGAAGCAAAACCCAGCTATAGAGGTTCAAGAACTAAGACTCCAGGCCATGTGGCAGCAGCTGAGACAGTATCATGCTGAATAAAAAGAATCAGGAGAGAGGCAGACATAGAAAGATTACACTCACTTGTGGGATATTTTTTTAAAAAACATAGTATGAAACTAATACCCAAAGACAGTAGAAACAGGGACCAGGAGGATTGGTCCACTCCTGGAAGCCTGCTTCAAGAGCTGCGGGAAAAGGCAGTTGGGATAGAGAAGGGACCAACTATGGCAAGTTAGTTGGAAATGACCACTCTGGATAAGAACTGCATGCTGAAAGCAGGTAAAGGAACAAACATGATAACCTCTTAGTATCTGTATTGCAACCATAATGCCCAAAATGGGAGGGGGGTTGGGGGGGGGATAAAGAGAGACAGAGACAAAGACAGAGAGAGATTACCTGCCATAGAGACAGGCTGGGGGGGGGGGGGGGAGGAGGGAAGCTGGGAACACTGGTGGTAAAAAACAAACACTGGTGGATGGATGGGTAGTGGAAAATTGTAGGACTGAAACCTGATCATGAAAACTTTGTAACCATGTATCTCACAGTGACTCAACTTTTTAAAAGAGTGGACTAAAGGACTGGGACAAAGGTCCTTCTCTTATACATACTGCATATGGTCCTCTGAGTTCAGTTTAAAGTGGTCCCTAAGAAAGGGTGTTGCCCCATTCGCCCTCTCCTCTCTGGAAAGAAGGATGGCGGCCACATGGGAGCCTTGTGGACAACAGGTATGAGCCGGGAGTGTGGGGGCGACTAAAACCTCATGGGAAGGGGGGCGTTCCGGTCCGTCCTTCACGCCCTACCGAGGCCACCAGTTGCCCCCCACGAGCGGCTCTCCAGCACGGCCACAGCCCCAGAAGCACAAGGGCTTAATGCAGAACCCAGCAGCTTGGAGCAGAAAAGTGAAAGGACTATGCGTTAATCCAGGCAATCATTTCTGCCAAGAGTGGAAAGGGTTTTGCTCCCTTCCGCCCTCCTCCCTCTGGAAAGAAAGATGGCGGCCACATGGGAGCCTTGTGGACAGCAGGTATGAGCCGGGAGTGTGGGGGCGACTAAAACCTCATGGGAAGTGGGGGCGTTTCGGTCCGCCCTTCACGCCCTACCGAGGCCACCAGTTGCCCCCCCGAGCGGCTCTCCAGCACGGCCACAGCCCCAGAAGCACAATGACCTAATGCAGAACCCAGCAGCTTGGAGCAGAAAAGTGAAAGGACTATGCGTTGATCCAGCCCATCAAGTCTGCCGGAGGGGAAAGGGTGTTGCCCCATTCGCCCTCTCCTCTCTGGAAAGAAAGATGGCGGCCACATGGGAGCCTTGTGGACAGCAGGTATGAGCCGGGGGAATGGGGGCGACTAAAACCTCATGGGAAGGGGAGCGTTCCGGTCCGTCCTTCACGCCCTACCGAGGTCACCAGTCGCCCCCCGCGAGCGGCTCTCCAGCACGGCCATGGCCCCAGAAGCACAAGGACTTAATGCAGAACCCAGCAGCCTGGAGCAGAAAAGTGAACGGACTATGCGTTGATCCAGCCCATCAAGTCTGCCGGAGGGGAAAGGGTGTTGCCCCATTCGCCCTCTCCTCTCTGGAAAGAAAGATGGCGGCCACATGGGAGCCTTGTGGACAGCAGGTATGAGCCGGGAGTGTGGGGGCGACTAAAACCTCATGGGAAGGGGGGCATTTCGCTCCGCCGTTCACGCCCCTACCGAGGCCACCGTTTGCCCCCCCGCGAGCGGCTCTCCAGCACGGCCACGACTCCAGAACACAGAAACCAATTTCTTAACTATCTGACTTTCAGTAGAAATACTTTCAGGATCAATAGGTAAAATAGCAGAAATCCAAAACCAACATTTAATTCTTGAACCCAGCTGTAGAAAGCAAATCACTTCACAATGCTTTTACAGCATGTCTGATTTGGGGGGGGGGGGGGTAAACTCTAAATAATAGTGGTGAATCTTATTGAAACAATGAATCTAATCAAAGCAGATAGAGTGTTAACTAGAATTCATCTGCCTCACAGGGACGGGGAGGGGTGGGGGGTGGGGTTTTATTGGGGTTCTTGAGGGTAAAAAATAAGTATTGGTAAAGGGAAATGTGTTTGATATTTGCATGACTGAGACATAAACCTGAAAGCTTTGTAACCTTTCCCACAGTGATTCAATAAATAAATAAATAAATAAATAAAATAAATAAATAAATAAAGTGGTCCCTAATTTGAGCCTAGAGCAAGTTCTAAGCACCACCACACAATACCACCAGTCTACCATCCCCCACACAAAAAAGGAGACTACCACAGAAATTTTCCTATGTATTTTTGGATACAAATAGATGTTTAAGACGGTTATGAGAAGGGTGCTTGGTTTTCCTACATACTAGTCTGATTTGTGTGCATTGAACCATTTGTATGTGTCTAGAATAAACCCCATTTAGTCATGATATAATATTTCTAATATATTAATGAATTCAACTTGCTAATGTTCTGTTAAAATTGTTCTGTTTTGGGCTACAGAGAGAGGACAGCAGCTAAGGCACTACTCTTGCATACAGCCTACCCGGGTTCAATCCCCAGCACCAAATATGGTCTCTCCCCACCCCACCAGCAACCCCAGGAGTGATCTCTGAGTTCAAAGGGAGGAGTAAGCCCTGAGAAACAACCTGTGTGGCTCCTCCCCCCATATATATATATATACATATATATATGTGTGTGTGTGTGTGTATGTACGTATATCCCCCCCCCCCCCCCCCGCCATGTTCATTAGAAATTTTAGCCTGTGATTTGTTTCATTGTT